GTTCTTCTTATACTTCTCCAAGAATTATGTATGTTAATAATAATAATAAAAAAAATGTGGCCACACGCACATAAAAGATAAGTTATCTTACTCTTCACTGTTGCTATGATCAGTGATAGAGATATGATAATACTTGGTGAAAAACTATTGTATGATTCAGAGTTTATCTTTTTTTATGATATTCATGTTTCTTTATGAGTTAAGAAAACAATTGGGAATGATTCACCTCTGTTATTGATGGCAAAATAAACGAAAGAAATTGCATTATAATGACTAGTTGTGGTGAAGTTCTGTAAATATAAGTAAGTGGCGTAGAAACACTTATTACCTGTAGTGCAGACATTCTGTTCATGACGTCACTCCTTACTTCCTTCTTGTGTCATTATATATATATATCCCTTACTGTTCTTAGTATAACTAGAATCTCAGATTTGTTTGTTTTTCTATTAAGCTTCAACATTTTCTATTGTCCTACTTTAACTAGTAGAAATCATGAATGAAAATAACATTGACTTTACATGGCATTTCTTTTCTAATCAATTAATTTCATTTCAACATATAAAAAAATATATCGACATGAAGTTGTTTATTAAGGATAAAGCAACTACGCTTTCATCTCTTACATGTATATTTCACAAATTATACGAAATTATAGGTCCATTCAATGTATGGTTGATTGGACTTAGCATATTATGTTTATCATGTGCTGCTTTATTTTCATTGATCGAATCTTGGACAATATTCTTCTATCTGACATTAGCACCTTACTTGATCATATTGGCTTGGTCACTTCCATTAACTCGTATTGGAAGTTGGAAAGCAATTACATCTATTATTCATCGTTTATGTGGTATTCTTTCTCTCTTATTACCTATGGGATTGATAATATATAATTCATGGACAGATGAACATCCTCCAAGATATCTTTATTTTATAGCTGTATTAGGTGTTATTTTCAATTGTGTATTTGGTGCTCTTCTTATTCCTCAAAGAATTCCAAGTTTTGATATTCCAACAATCCGAGCATTTGGTGTTGGTGTTGTTCTTGGATTATCATTTGTTGGATGGTCATTAGTATGGTATTTTGGCGCTGAACCATGGTTTGCTCCTTTCGGATATGCATGTGCAATTTATAGTTTTATCACATGTTTTTTTGCTTGGAATGATTCTATACAACATATTTATACTAATATGACAAATCCATATTATGCTACACAACTTGATTTAGAATATTTCAAACCACCAAAACGACCTTATCAAGTTGGATTAAAACATAAACCTTACAAATTATGGGAAGTATTTACAATATTTCCATTCAAATCTGCTCATCCAAAATTACAAGAAGTTACAGTAACACCTTCATCAGCAGCTGTAGTTTTTACTGTGACATTAACTGCTATATTTTCATTGACAACATTACTGCAATGGTATTATCTTTATTGTGGACCAAGTGGAATGATATTTCGTCATGAATTATTTCCATCTTATACAAAATATTCAGCATATTTAGCTTTACTTGCTGCTGTTGCAAATAATTTTGGTACATTTGCTGGAACTTTAGTCGTTCAACAGAAAGTATCTTCATTTTGGGGAGCTTTTTTTAATGCTATTGGTCTTCTAATACCTATTGTTGGAACATTAAGCTTTCAATTACGTGTACCATATGAAAATATCTTGTATTCCATTTTGTTAAATAAATGTTCTGCCTAAAATTATTCTTTTTATTCTAAGACATAGTCCAACAGAAAATTAAAGATATTTTTCTTGATATAAGATTGATCTGACAATCTCTTGCTGAATCATTAAGCACATGCTGATAACAGGGGTTATAAAACTACCAAGAAAAAGTTTATTTTTCGAACTTTTTAATATGATGTACATCACTTGATTGGTTTAAGTATTTATATAGTAATTACTGTAGTTTTGTCAAAAGAAAGTATATACATCTTTTTGTGTACTCAAAAAGTGAGTACACTCTAGAATCGGTCAGTGTGTCCATCCGTCTGTTTATACGATAACTCTTCCCAATTACATTC